TTTTTTTTTTGTCTTTAAAATCGGTTTATAGCATATGCGAGGAATCTATAAATAATTAGTTGACATTTCTACTTTATTTTTTTATTTTAGTTTTTTAAATATAAAATCAATGCATTTTCCCCAAAAATAAGAAACTATAGAATTGTTAGTAATATTAAAGTGATTATTCATTTGTAGTCTGTTTCGTTATACAATTTGAGTCAATCAAAGCTCCTTTTCTTATTGATAAGCATCACACAATTTATCAGCTCTATAATTTTCTCTTACTCAATAAATCATTTGGCATTTACCTTTAAAGTACCTTGACTATATGTCGTGATTCCAGTTAAAAATTAATTCCTGTACCCGTAATCAATTCCTGTTGCATTCTCTACTCTCCAATCTCTCTCTCTATCTCTCTCTCTATCTCCTGTAAACCGGTATTTGTTATAGGCGCTAAAGAGCACAGACATTCCCACACACACACTCACACCGATTCAGATCGAATCAGAGCTCACTTAGCATGCTAAACAGGTTCATAAGTTTATCGGCTCTCATTGCCAAAGGCAGCTGCGGCTTTCAGGGGCCTGGGCTGCTCTCCAAGAGGCAGTCGCTACTTAAGTCGGGGTGGGTAAGCGGCTCAGCTCAGTTACTTGCCGAACCTAGCTTTGAGCAGTATGCGTCCGATATTTAAAGTTCTGCCTCTGCTGGCATTTTTTGCTGCTCTGTTGCTAACACCCAGTGATGCTTCCCTTTTGCGCAGAGCCAAGAATAAGACAATGTCCGCCAAGTCATTCAAAGTGTTGATCACGCACCCGGAGGTGCCCCAATCGGGCATTGACCTGCTCAATGAGAACTGTGAGCTGGTGCGTGTGGAGAGTCTGCCGCCCAAGCGGTCCGAGTTGTTGCAGAAGATCCGCGGAGTCGATGGCATTCTGTGGGGTGGACACGAGGCTCTCAATGCCGAGGCATTGGATGCAGCGGGACCCCAGCTGAAGTCCATCTCAACCATGTCCGCTGGCATCGACTACGTCGATCTGGATGAAGTGAAGCGCCGCAAAATACCGCTGGGTCACACACCCACTGTGCTGGACAACGCTGTGGCCGATCTGGCTGTGGGTCTACTTATTGCAGCCGGTCGTCGCTTCCACGAGGGTCGCAAGAAGATCGAAACGTGAGTGGGACTTTCGATATGTTCTTGAATATTGTTAATGTGAATTATCCTTGGCTTGGCTTAGGGGTAACTGGGAGAACTATCATCTGAACTGGATGCTGGGCCAGGATGTGCGCGACTCGGTGGTTGGTTTCTACGGCTTTGGTGGCATTGGCCAGGCCATTGCCAAGCGTCTGTCTGGCTTCGATATCGATCAGGTGCTCTACACCACACGGCGTCGCATCGACAGGGAGACCGAAAAGGAGCTCAATGCCAAGAAAGTGGAATTCAATGAGCTGCTGGCTAAGAGTGATTTCGTGGTCATCGCTGCACCACTCACAGCTGCCACACAGGGCGTCTTCAATGCCACCGCCTTCAACAAGATGAAGAATACGGCTGTGCTGATCAACATTGCACGTGGCAGTAAGTGGAAGCTTTTATATTTTGTTTTGTTTAATTAATTATTTTTGCATTTATTTATATATTTATTTTTTTCCCTTCCATCAGAGATTGTTAATCAAAATGATCTGTACGATGCGCTCAGGTCGAACCGCATCTTTGCCGCTGGCCTCGATGTTGTCGATCCCGAACCACTGCCGCCCAATAGCAAGTTGCTAACACTCGACAATATCAGTAAGTGAATTTATCTCTATAAATATATAAGCTTTTTGTCAGTTAGCTCACTTATCTCTTACTCAACTCTTATCTACACTCGCTTTCTGTTTGTATTTTGTAGAGAGTTGTGTTGCTGTTTTAGTTTGTAAATTGATGGCCAAGGTTCTTTTTAGGTCATCTATAAACAATTTTGGGTTATCATCATACAAGTTTGTTGTTTATTTCGTCACTTAGAGCGCACCAAGCTTTATGTTTTCTATAGGTAGTAGTGAGTGGTAAAGGACGCCTTTTTGTGTATAACATATATAAATTCAAGTTAATGTTAGGCAGTATATCTTGTCAGCTTATCTTTTATGCAAGATATAGTCGAAAATTTTTGAAGTGAAAAGGTCAGGAAATTTTGTTTATAGTGAGGGTAACATTGCCAGCAATATACCTATATATTATAGTTCACATGGTTGATTAAGCACCTGTTACGTTTAGCTTGCAGCGAGGTTCCACTGTGATTCTTAGCAAATCGAGTAGTTTTCGAGCTTTTATTAACGCATACCTTGTTTGACTTATAGTTCCAGAAAAAAAAAAGAATTTTCTCCTCGAACTAGCTGCTGGCCTGAGTTGGGTTTCTTCTGTATAGTAGATTTAAGTACATGTCTCTTTATGCAACTCAAGGTCAACCGCTTCACTTCTATTTCAGTCATTCTGCCCCACATTGGATCTGCCACCAATCGCACTCGCTCCGACATGGCCACCATAGCCGCTCACAATGTGCTGCGCGGCTTGGCGGGTGAGCGCATGCTCTCGCCGGCTTACTAAGCTCTGGGAAAACTATAAAAGAATTATGGAAAAACTATGGGACGCTTTGAAGGTCTACGACGAGTTGTGCTATGCAAATTAATTGCAAACAATTGTGTGAAGAATTATGAACTCAACAAATTAAAAAGTAAACAGAAATTATTAATTATTATTGCATTATTAATCTTGTCTTACTATAGATATATAAAATTACCTTATCTCGGTCACCGATATTTGATTAATCCATCAATCAATCAATCAGACTTAAAGTTCTTGTTCATTCAGCTAACCAAAAACCAAGTTAGCAGATTGGGCTATCTACAATAGTATGTCACTAGCTGTAAATATAAAAAAAGATAGTTAACATACAAAAAATGTAGGTCAAATCAAGGTTATTATTTGACAAGCTCATATTTTTGTTAAAAACTCGTGTCTAATTATACTAGATAACTAAGCTCAATACATACATATGTACGTACATATGTTTATTTATACATATGTATATCATTTTCACTATATAAATATTGAAAGAATGAAAAGTGTAAATATTTGAGTCATGGAGATGTGTAACAAAATATATAATATTTTGTTTATGAAATCAGCCTCGAAACTGAACAGGAAGACCTACATATGTATTTCAATCATTCATATATTGTATGCTGATGGCATAATCTAACGAGAAATATGTGTTAGTTTGGAATTCAGTATATTACAATAAGAGAAATCTACTATTGGATACTGCATATATGTATGTAGAATACACATATATATATATATATATGTATATGCAGTATCCAATAGTAGATTTCTCTTGTCAAGGTTTTCATTTGAGCAGTCTGTCAATAAAACCTACATACATACATATGTATATGTTATTTCTCATTAAATCCAGGAAGCTAATTAGCAGCGATAGCAAGACTAGGAGTAAGGGTAGTAGATTAGTAAAGAGAAGGTAAGTGAAGTAGGAAACGAAACAGTAAACAGACAGAATTAGGCACAGGGAGGAAACGAGAGAGCAACAGCAATAGAGGAAGGTGCACGAAAGCTTGAAAACTTTGTATGGAGTTAGTTTTGTCTGAATTCTGAGTGTTTAGTTTACAAAGAGAAGCAACGCCAAACAGTGAGGCAGAAGAGAGTGGATAGAAGCTAGTGAAAGCTTGAGAGAAAAAAGCTCAAGCATTGTTTACGCTTCGCCACGCTTTAGTTTTTCTCTAAATACCGAGTGGCTCAGTTCACAATGAGCGTTTCGCGAGCGTTCAAAGTACTCGTCTCGCATCCACAGGTGCCGGTGGCGGCGCTGCAGTTGCTCCGCTCTCGCGGCGCCGAGACTATCATCTGCCAGAGTGTGCCGCCCAGCCGCGACGAGATACTGGAGAAGGTGGGCGGTGTCGATGCCATATACTGGGCACACTATCAGCCGCTGAATGCGGCCATTCTCGATGCAGCCGGGCCACAGCTGCGAGCTGTCAGCACCATGTCCTCGGGCATTGACTTTGCGGACGTGGAGGAATTCAAGCGTCGCCAGATTCCATTGGGCCATACGCCGGGCGTGGTGAAGAATTCGGTGGCAGATCTGGCCATTGGCCTGATGATTGCAGCTGGTCGACATTTTCATGCGGGTCGCAGAGACATTGAGACGTGAGTAGCAGCTGTGTGTGAAAGCTTTGTGCAAAGAGCTTTTGAGCTTTTTGCGGTCTGCCAACTTAGCATAAACTTTTGAATAGAGATCAAGAGTGAACGTTATTATAATTAGATGCAAACAGAAATAGCTGATATTAAATTGTTTTTTATACTTTATTTGATTTTAATTCTAAATCATTATGTTCCTTGTTTTATTTTTTATTTTTTATATCTATATTTTCAAATTTATTTATTTTATTATTTATTACTTATTTCCTATAAATTATAATTTAATTTGAATTCAATCTCTTACAGCTCTCAGTGGCTAACGGAGCAAATTGATTGGCGTATGGGCGTGGAGATTCGGGATTCAGTGGTTGGTTTCTTTGGCTTTGGTGGCATTAGCCAGGCCATAGCCAAGCGCTTGCAGTGCTGGGACGTGGACAAGATAATCTATACGACCCGGAATCGCAAAGAAAACGATATAGACTACAAGGCAGAGCACGTGCCCTTCGAACGTCTGTTGCAGGAAAGCGATTTTCTGGTGGTTGCTGCACCACTCACCAACGAAACGCGTGAGAGGTTCAATGCCAAGGCCTTTGCTCAAATGAAATGCAGCGCAGTGTTTGTCAATGTGGCCAGAGGAGGTGAGTATTAAATATATATAAATGATATAATATATATCTCTAATATAACATATATTTATATGATATATATTTCATTGCAGGTCTGGTTAATCAGGTTGATTTGCATAAGGCCTTGAGCAGTGGACAAATCTTTGCTGCGGGTCTAGATGTAACCACTCCAGAGCCCTTGCCTGCAGACAGCCCCATTCTTAAGCTGCCCAATTGTGGTGCGTTTTACTTGAAATTTATTTAAATAAAATCTATGCTAAGCCAATTTCTCTTGCAGTGGTTCTGCCCCACCTGGGCACGCAGACCATGAAGACAACCATTGAAATGAGTCTCCTGGCAGCGAATAATATTATAAATGCTATCGAGGATAAGCCCATGGTTAGCCCAGCTTATTGAACTGAGCCGAATCGGCATATGAAAATTATGTAAGTGCAAGTGTTAAAATTAAAACACAATTTGGGAATATTTGTAATTGTTAAATGTAAAAATTCTGGAATCTGTGATTCCAATAGATAATCCAAAGACTTGAAATAAATAAGAAATAAAAATAAAAGGAGTAGCTAATAATAATTGAAAGCATCAATGGACCTTGATAAAATCTTAAATCTTTCGCAAATAACTGACATTAAAAGTCACTCTTTTGGAACTTTTAAGAACTTTCAAAAAGAAGGCAAATATGCCAAAGTCTTACCAATTTTACTTGATCTCTTGCGTTACTTTCTAAATAAATTTGATGACAATTTATTGTCCTTCAGCAATTCATTCAACAACAAATTATTATACAAGTTAAAAAATGTTATTTTTATTATTATTATTTTTTTTTTTGAGTTGAATATTTTTATTCACTAACATTACCGTCTTTGATTTGACTGAGATACAGTGCATCCCACTCATCGCGCTGCAAGGCTTTCAGGTAGCGCTGTCGCTCCCGCAGCACGCGCTGCACGAGCTCTAAGTCGGGCTGCTCCGCCTGATGTTTCAGTGCTATTTCTAGTGCCCGCTTCCAGCTGTGCATGCGCAGGGCCAGCGCTACGGCCTGCTCATATTTGCGATTGTGCAGCAGTATGGTCTCCGCCTCGAGCAAGCGGCCCAGCATCAGCGAGTTCTCGGCCATCTGCTCGGCGCTCGATGGCGACAACGTCTTCAGGTACTGCAGATAGCTCACCTTGTCGATCTGCAGGGCAGCCGAGTAGGCCTCCTCGCTGAGCTGCAGCTGATGCTTGCGCGTGGCGACGGCGGCCAACGTGGCCCACAGACTCGTGTGCTGCGCCAGCCGACAGATCCTTAGCGCCTGCTGCCACTGACCCTCCTGCAGAGTGCGATGCAACACCTCGCAGTAGATGTTCACGTTGACCGGCAGCAGAGCGCCAGCGCAGCGAAAGGTAATCACGGCATCCTCAAAGCTATCGATGGCCACGTGTTTGCCAAACTCACTGAAAAGGAAGGAGGAATCAAAGAGGGCTCTAATCAATGGGATGTTAAGCATGGAGCAGTTCGGTCAATAGAAAGAAGAAAAAAATTCTGAATTTAGAATATGCAAAGCTCAATCTTGAAGGTATCTTCAGGGTTTAGGCCAAACTTATGGAATATGAGAATATTTGTTAGTATACCTCAGCAATCTTTGATTTCAAGACCAAAATCAAGTAACTTGAATCTTTCGAAAACAGTTACATTAAATAGTATTTTGAAACGTTAGCATAATACAAATTTTAAATTGTGATTCCCAAACTAGGAGAACTTCTTGGCCAAGCTATAAGCGACCAATAGAAGCATTTTAACAGTAAGTCTTTCCCGAAACTTGAAGAGCATTAACTGCCCATTGGAACTACAGATGGCGTTCAGAATACCAACTGATATGGTTAGCAAGTTGACTGGCAGGAGAATAGTCTCATGCTTGAGCGTAGCGTGTTTGGTGTTTAGGGTATTGAACGTACGCTGTGTCCAGTGTGATGGTGGTCAGGGCGATGATGGTGGGATCGGCAGAGCCCTCGCCAGGACAGTACCAGATGCTGTAGCAGGAGTCGTGCACACCTACTAAGATGTTCGTCTCGCTGGCCCACCTGATGGCTGTCAGCTGAGTGCCGATCTTGTAGATCTCATCAGAGTCATTGGCCGCGCGATCCGTCGAGGAGTTGCCGCTAATGTTTCGTGTCTCGCTGATGTACAGCTCTCGATTGGTATCAATGAAGGCGATGAACTGATCGTCCGGACTGCCGGCGCGACAGGCAGCGATCTCGGCTAGCTGCTGCTTGGCTCTCAGGGACTGCGGCTCGTATTGCCGTGAGGCGCCCGGAATCAGATCGAAGAGATGCAGCAGCGAGGTCTCCGAGTTGTCTCGTATGGCTAGCACATCGAGGCCCAGGGAAATGGAGCGCCTGTTGAGCAGCGGGAGCTGCGCCTGTGAGCCCGGGTAGCGGGGATTGAGATGCAAACGACCCGTGTAGGTGTACACCCAAATGGAGGCGGCATCCAGCACCATGAAGTACCTGAAAGGGGCGGGTCAAGCTCAGAGAATGGCAATTGCAATTCAACTTTGGCCACTCACTTCTTGCCCACCTCAATGACGCGCGTATCGTTGCGGCCATCGATGATGATCGGGGTGTTGATGTACTTCTCGTTATAGATGTGCAGCTGATGGGTGGTGGCTACCACCAGATGCCCATAGCCGAGAGCGAAGTTGATGACCCGCTGCGGAAACTCCAGCACATCCTTGCTGCCATTGGCGATGTCCTGGAGTGCAATGCACTTGCGACCCGTGCTCGTTGCCTTCAGGTTGCGCGAGATGAGCTGCTGGTCCACAGCGTAGCCGACAATCAGCTGCCCCGTGGCACTGCCGCAGGCCACCTGAGTGCCATCCGCCGACCAGGACAAGGTGTAAAAGGAGCCCACACTCGGCGCCGTGAAGCGTGCACTGCTATAGGACCACTGCAAGGCATAGATGGTTCAGATTCAGGCGCGTTGCAAACGCTGCGTTGGCGGTGGCACTTACGCCCGTGCTGTGGCACAGCTTGAGCATGTTGAAGGTGCCCACCAGCAGGTACTCCTTCTCCGGATTGAAGGCCACGCTCGTTATGGCATACTCCTCGGCCGCACTCGTATACAGGCTGGCGCCCTGGGCATCCCAGATCTTGAATCGGAAATCCTCACCGCCAGAGGCTATAATGTTCGACTGCCCCGACCAGCTCAGAGACAGCACTAGACCGTCATGGGCTCGCCACTGAAATGGATAATCAAAGTAACGGATTCGGTTTTACCTCTGAATGTGTTTTAGAGAACTGACATAACTGTATAAATTTTTAGTTGTTTACTGTATTTGGATTTAGTGCAAATTTTAACTGTTGAAACCGATGTGTATTACCACTTTGATTAGCTTAATAAATGTTAAGTTTGTATATATGATAAACAAGTATATTTT